TAAGTATGAAACAAGAAATATGTTTTCTAATTATATTCAATTGTTTCATATTAAAACTTAAAAACTCAAAACCATGTATGTATATATCTAATACTATTATAAAAGTGTGTTGTCATGTTAAAATATTTCTTCCAAAAATACCCTCCGAAACACATACATGCATACATCTCTACCACATCCATACATGCATACATTAAGATATATACATACTTAAATTTTCATAACCTCCCTATTTATTAGCATCAAATTTTCATTTAACCACCCACTAATAACATTCCCCCACTAAGTCTTGACATTACACACTAATAATGAAAAACGTTATAACTATTCATCTTCCATAAATCACTATAAATTACTATTATAATATTTCCCCACTAAGTCTTGACATTACACACTAATAATGAAAAATGTTACAACTATTCATCTTCCATAAATCACTATAAATTACTATAGAATCTTATCAATTTTCTCTAACCAAAATTCTAACTTTTCATCAAAATTTATTCATATTGAAAAGTGTGTTGTCATGTTAAAACATTTCTTCCAAAAATATCCTCCGAAACACATACATGCATACATCTCTACCACATCCATACATGCATACATTAAGATATATACATACTAAATTTTTCATAACCTCCCTATTTATTAGCATCAATTTTTCATTTAACCACCCACTAATAACATTCCCCCACTAAGTCTTGACATTACACACTAATAATGAAAAACGTTATAACTATTCATCTTCCATAACTCACTATAAATTACTATTATAACATTTCCCTACTAAGTCTTGACATTACACACTAATAATGAAAAACGTTACAACTATTCATCTTCAATAAATCATTATAAATTACTATAGAATCTTATCAACTTTCTCTAACCAAAATTCTAACTTTTAATCAAAATTTATTCATATTGAAAAGCAAGGAGACACAACTACATCACTTACAAACCGTAAGAAGTGTGAGTGTGTCAATGGTAACATCACTGGTAGAGTACAATCGAATTGAATGAGGAGATGGTAATTGAAGCATCGGTGTAACAATTTAGAGAGCAGAGAAAAAACTGGTGAAGCCGACAAAGAAGGCGGTCCTGTATTTTATCAAAATCTGCAGCTATTTCAGTCATAAACTAATTGGTTTTACCCCCTTCCATCTTCGTATATGTTTTTTCCTTAGCATGTAAATTGGTTTCCAACTCCTAGGCATGTTTGTAAATATGCTAAATTGTTTGTATAGTTTGGATATACTATACTTTATGCACTATACTATCATGGATATACTATATAGAACCAAATAGAACCAAAAGAATTTAGAACCAACGCACATGCACTATACTAATACTTTACACAATTCATTATTTAATAATTTGAAGATCCTTGGTAGTATAGTGCATAAAGTAGTATATAGTAAAGATTAGATGCACTATTTTAAGATTAAAAATTTGTATCTTTTGGGTATTCCATGATTTGCCAATGTTCACAAAATAACCCTGAATTTTTCCCCAAACAACCATGGATCTTCATAATTTTCACAAAGACCATTAAAATTCCATATATTTATAGAAAAATAGTGAAATTTTATAATTTTTTACAGATAAACCCCTATATAGGTCAAAACTTAAATCTTAAGAAGATTGAAAGAAGTATATGATCTAAATTGTAAGAAAATTACAAATAAGTCCTCAAATGTTGTTATAATTACATTCAAAATGAAACTCTTTCATTAATTAAATAATAAATTGTGTAAAGTATTAGAACATAAAGCAAATATGTCCACATGCGTAAAATGTTGTTATAATTACATTCAAAATGAAACTCTTCCATTAATTAAATAATGAATTGTGCAAAGTATT